CCCCCTGCCGTCGTAGTCGACCTGCGCTCCAAGCGCGCACATGAGCCGATAACGTGGGCGGATCTGCAGCAGCATGAGGGCAGGATGCGGCAGGGCGTCGCCGTTCTGCTGTGCACCGGATGGTCGCGATACTGGGGCGAGCCCACATACAGCGACCACCCGTTCCTGGAGCCGGACGCGGCGCGGAGAATACTAGAGACCGGCGTGAGAGTCATTGGAGCAGACACGTTGAGTCCGGACGAGTTCACGCCGGAGGGCGATACGGGGAGAGTGCACCGGCTTGTGCTTGGTCAAGGAGGCATAATCGTCGAGAACCTCAGTAGATTGGGACAAGTCATCGAGAGCGGGTGGGAGGATATCGTTGTGTCTCTGTTGCCCCTGAATTTGAGTGGTTGTGATGGCAGTCCGGTGAGGGCGGTTGCATGGCGGGGAGAGACATCTACTATGTTCGGGTCAAAACTTTGAAAGCGTGTATAACCTCTGATCGCGTACTCAAAGACTCTCCTAGCGCTAGCATGCCCGAGCGCGCTTGCCAACACCCTACCACGATTCACACTCGACAAGTCGGTAAGCTGTAGAAAGGTGACGGTCACTCACCTTAGAAAGTCAGATCAAAGCTGAGAACGCCTGCGGATAAAAACAAATCATTAGATACCATGTCGGCTCTAACGTACAAATCATAGGCCACGGTATCTAATCTGATCTGTGCCGCATCACAGCTTTGCCTTAGGCACGGAAGTTAGCAGACCCTGCTTCGCCATCTGTCTCGCACGATCACGCAGTGACCGGCGCAGGAGCTTCCCGCTCGGAAGTTTGGGTATAACGTCAGTAAATTCGACACCACCGGTGAGCTGCTTGTAGGACGTCTTCCCGTCTGCGACGTACTGGCAAGTGAGTCAGTAAAGCACAGAAAACAAGCAGAAACCAAACTAGACAACTGACCTTGATGAGAGCAGCCTTGATCCTATCCCCTTCCGCAGGGTCCGTCTCCATACGTGCTTGCGCTGCGGCGCTGGGAACGACGTAGGCGAGGGGGAGATCGCCATTGAAGTCGTCGAGAAGGCTGACGACACAAGTATCTGCTACGTCTGGATGCTGCAGCAAGAAGCCCTCCAGCTCTGCGGGCGCAACTATGGCGAAACCGTCACAATTAACTGTAGCACATGGGTAGTTCCATCCTCCTACCCACCTTGGAATGCTCTAACTTTCAGAAGTTCCTTGTCAAGCGGCGTGCGTTCAGACGACAAGCTGGCGCTATCAGCGACCGCGAGTGCTCACCTTGATACGGTCCACAACGAAGAGCTCAGCCTTCTCATTGATGATCACCTCGTCTCCAGTGTACAACCACCCGTCTCTGAAAGTCTCCTTTGTGCTGCGAACGATATCAGCCTGCACTTCCCACGTCCGCATGCAAGTCGACTAGCTCACGCTTTCTCGTCCAGATATCCCAAGGCCAAAGATGGCGTCGAGATCACAAACTCGCCGGGCTCGCCGGGCGGCGCGAGGCTTCCATCCGCGCGGACCACACGAGCGACAAGGCCAGATATGAGGACGCCTGCGCTGCTGGGGTCGGCCACCTTACAGTTCGGCGACGCCATTGCAATCATGGTGAACGTCTCCGTCATGCCTATCCTGTCATCAGCTTGGTAGGCCGTGAACGGTGAGATGACCTGGGACGAACCAAAACCCTGGCCAATCCACGCCTCGGGAAAGAGGGTGGCGAGCTGGGTCATCAGCTCTCCAGAGAGTGGAGCAGCACCGCACACGACCGCTCTGACAGAGCTCAAGTCGTATTTTTTAACATCGGGGTGCTGTAGGCAGTGGTTCAGTTGGCCATCACGAGAGGCTTAGCATAGCCGTCGACGGACCTTGCAGAATAGAACAGCCACGGGAGGAACAAGACTGTGATGCACGTGTCATGATGTTCAGGGGGCAAGTGAATGCGACTTACGGGAGGTAGTTAATGCGATACCGCTCAATGCTTTTCAGCATATCGGTGAAGTTGAATTTCGGGATCACCACCAGTGTCGCCTGCGACACAGGCGACATTGTTGTCAGTGTGTGCCACACATACACACAGTTGGAATATATGCGCACCCCATGGAAGAGCGTGAAGTGCATGACGAACGCAAGCCCATATGCATCTACCAAGGCCCAGCAGCTCAGTGCTTCCGCTAAGACTGTATGTAAACACGCGTACGGTAGAAAGGAAGCACTGCGGCAGGCTATTTCAGTTGATGTTGCTTGGCCACTGACACAGGCCAACTCACCAGCCAGTATGACGGTTCCAGGACGCAGCGAAGCCTCGGACAGCGGTTTCTTGTCCGTCTTCAGAAACGTAGCTACCTGTATCATATTGGCGATGAGGGCATAGTGGGATATCCGGATCGCCTGGACAACAAGCAAGCGGCATCAGCTGCATGAGTAGACCCTGTGCACGCGGAAGTACCTTTGGCAGCCCAGTTGTGCCGCTCGAGAAGCTCAAGAAGGCTAGCTTCGATTTCGCCTCGCCGGGATTTAGCTTACGCTCAACAAAGCTCTTCGGCTGCTTCACACCTTCGTCGATGAGTTCCGACAGAGTCGCATGCCTCACCGCAGGATCTTTCAAGCCTGATGCAGTGTCCACAAGGACGACGCGGTCAGGAGCGATGCCCACTATCTGTGCGGCTGCAAGCGCGGTGGCGTAATTGGATGAGTGTGCTAGGAGTAATTTCGGGCTTGTAGACTTGAGTTGATGCTTGAGCTCCTCTGCAGTCTGAGTGGGATTTAGGGGGCTACATGGTCATGTAGGGAAATATGTCGATGTGGAGGAAGAAAAGAAATACCTGACAATGGCTCCGAGCCGGTGAACGGCCCTGTCAAACCGGATCAATGAGGGTCGCATTATGTGCGTTGTAGAAGAGCACACCAGATTATGACAGGATAGTCTGGGGCGTTGTCAAAATATATGCAGTATGTCAAGACAGCATAGGCACATACCGACGCTATTGGGACTGAAGATGGAGACTAAGAGGCGGCGATCAGACGGTCCGACAGACAAAGTCGAACAGATAAATGAGCCACACCAACGTCGTTCTCTCCTGCTCTGAAAATGAGTGTGCTATCCGATGTGCGCATATGTAGAATACAACTCACCAATCTTCCAGCGCGCGCTCAATGAATTCGCCAACGCATCAGTGCGCGAATATATCTAATAAATGCGCGTGTCAAAGAACGGTCTAGTAGCTACTCAGCCGTATAATGCACCTCTTCTTTCCACACCTTCCGTCCACTGCTATCCTCAATCAGCCACGGGCTGGGCTGCGCGAGAACAGGCCTGAAAGGATGGTGGTAGTCGAGCATGAATTGTGCAACGGACATGTCGTCCGGAATGGCTGGCAAAGGGCCGCCAATTCCGTGGATTTCAGACATGCTGGCAGCGCACTTGATGGTGGTTAGAACGAGAGATGTGTATGTGTGCTAGGGGGTCTACTGTAGGAGGCAGAGAGAACACTGTATCGCATCCGCTGAACTCGGAGTCCGCGTTGAAGCTCGCGAAAGAGTGATATTGATGACTCACAGCTCGGACGCACTCTCCGGCAACCTCAGTGGCCGACTGGCGAGAGTGACTTGCACGTCGCAGACAGGCTCAGGGTACCGCTGCATCAAAGGCCAGTGTCAAGGAGTTTAAACACGCCAAGCTCAGCTGACACACAACCCCAGATGAACATGAACCTGCAGATGGTACTCACGTAAGTAGGCTGATGCGCAATACAGTATGCAGTGCTGTGCTTCAGAGTCCTGCCTCTACCAGTGTGTTTCATCGCATACTTTGTAAACGCTCGGGGATTTTCGCAGGCCTTTGCCCCGAAGGGTATCAAGTAGCTGTATATTAAGTAATAGAAACCATGCGACATTCACACTACCTCCACGCTACTTTCGCATGCATTCTTCTGAGTCTTGTTTCTCATTGGCGTGGAGAGGAATAAAGTTGCTGAGTTATATCAAAATTGAGTTCGAGTATGAATATTCATGCGATATGTAGCTGCGGGCTGGCTGGCGACTTCTCGAAGCCGGATGATCACGGGCACTCTGACGAGAGGAATTGTTTGGTCAAGTGTTATCTAGCAGGCTCGATCGACGAGAATCCGCGTGAAGGAAGAGGGGAAGGACAATATACGAGAACAAGTCCACGAGGCCCAAAAGCATACAAGTCAAGTCATTTACTTATCATGAGCTCGAAGCTGAGAAACACAAATGTAGGAAGCTGCCTCAAGTTCACGTCGTCCAATGTTTCTGCCTCGATATCGTACGCACGGGAGTAGCGCATGCACCGTACATCATGTCTACATAGGGCCAGGCCCTCGCGGACAATAAATGAGAACCGAAAAAAATAGTTCACGTCATACTCCATAGCTCGTTGCCTTCAGCGGCCAACAACCGATTTGAGTTTTATCTCAACTTATCTGCGTCACGATTGAGCCCATGAAATGAGCACATAGGCTACATGCTAGTCCACATTGGCAAGAACGATCAGACGAGAGGCATTTTGGTATAATATTCTTTATTAATGCCGACACCTGAGATGCTAGTTGCAGGGTATACTGTCGGGGCGCTTGCGCTGAAGGCCAAATGCGGGAGTCTACCCAGCTCCAGCTGGAGATTGCAAAATGAATCGCTGGATCTAATTGTTCCCCCTTTTTTGACGACGCCTTCTGGATCGAGTCACCAGTGGCGTCCGCCCACGGGCAGGCAGAGAAGACGTGCCTTCCCCATGATTTGAACCAGATGGTTGTTGGCTGACACTGCGGGTAGATTGCCTTGAAGATATAGGTCGTGCTTCCGCTGAGGATACACTCTGAGCAAAATTTCTTCGCGACGTAGAGCGTGTTATTTGGATCTTTTGGCACTGTCTGAAATACCTTGTTGGAAGTGGAGTTCGGTGCGAGTACGCTTACGTGCTGAGCCAGCCCTGTGTATCGGGCTCGCCACCCGTTCTGGTCTGGAGCTCAGGGCTTGCAAAGGCTCAGAAACCATGGGAGACTGTAGATCCTGGCTGACATTTCCGTCCACCCGCCGGTCCACCCTGTGATTTTTCTCCAGAGGCTCCTTCAAAACCTCCATCCATAACTGCTTGAGATGTGACGGGTCCGACCACTTATCGATCTTGTTGCCCAGAGGACTGTGGTAGTCCATGGCGGTGTTCAACCATTTTTGGAGTGCAGGGCTTCGGAATGTAAAATTCATAGTGTACCGTCTATCCCGCGCATTGGCCATCTTGCCTAGGCCGCCACCACTGGTGTCGTTGCCGCTGTTAGACATTACACCAATGTTCTCGAGCACAACGTGGTCTTGAGCATCGTATGGCCTCCATTGTATGCTACAATAGATGATGACATACAACATGGATTCCATGTCATCTTGCAGAGAATGAAAAGACCGTTGGTGAACGGCTAGAAGACTGATTGACATAAATCGCCATGTACCCTAGTACCCTAGACTTAGATATCACCCATGGCAACGTGGCATAAACCTCACCGTTCGTTCATGACTTCGAGCTAGCCCTTCTCGATCTGTTAGGCATGACAGCTCCCAGTCAATCAAAATGCCACGTCGGGTACCGTTCTTGGGATCCTGGAACAAGACGATGTTGCCCAAACTAACGTCCCGATGCAATCTCTTGCCTTTTGCATGCGCATCTAGCATGGCTAAGCACGTTGTGTCATTTTTAAAACTTACGATATATATGAAAAAAGATCAACCTTCGTAGGCACAATGTGTGGAGTACGATAACTCTTCTGTGCCTCTGGAAAGCTTTGAGGGGATAGCCTACGGTGCTCAACGTTATGCGATAATGGATGTGAGGAGCCACAACAATACGTCGTTGTCCACTGGATGCACCCTTGCACGACCACTCGGCATCGAGATATAAGTCAGTGAGCGTCTTGTGAGATGAAACTGCAATTTTTGAGTGAATGCACATTACAGCAAGGTTTCAATCTACTGCAGATTGCTTTTCCTTACCCTTAGAACTACTTGAAATGGAGGCTTTAGGCTGAGAGGATATATCTCCATGGTGCAGCAGCTCAGGTATGTTCCGAACCTCAGCTTCGTGTAAGTTCACCAAGATACCACCCTCCTTTTCGAAGTCCTCCCCAGTATACCGCCAAGTGTCTTTCAAAAATGCAATCTGACCATCGCTACGAACGGCCCAGTATCCGCGCGTAGCCCGACTAGCCATAGACAATGGGGACACGACCGGTCGAGATATGAGATACCTGTGGACGCTGCGAGTCGGAGCCACACCGTCATAGACCTTTACAGCAATCACCTTGCCTTCGAGATAGTGTTCGTCGACGGCCCGCTTCAGTGCACTGGCGGTTTTGACGTCCTCGAGTAGTTGCTCCTGCACATGAGATGGTGTTTCTGAATAGCACCTCCTCGTCAGGACTTGCCGGCTCGACTATCATGTCATAGCCACGCTACGCATCCGTGGAATTAGAAAATCACCATAAAAACTCGCACAGAAATTTGGGGTGTTTGTGAAGCTTGAAGTCTTCAGTCACTATGGCTCCCGCACGATCCCAGCGTATAAGGCGAGCATGGCTACCAGACAATGACACCGAGAAGTAGAAAGAGCGATGTTGTCGTGCACACGCCCCAGCGGCATAGGCAACATTCTGACGGAGGGCCTTCCGTGCTTTTCTCGCACTTTTTCATTCGAGATATTTAGAATAAATTGATGGGAGGCATGATAGGCACCTGGTTCGGGATCCGTAAAAAATCTTGCTTTGAATCTCTCTTGACCTCGAAGAATAGCTCTGCATAGCCCAAATGAGCGCGCGGTTTACTATTCTTGTCTCTTGTTTTAGCAATGATATCTATAGCAACAAACATCCGGCCGCATCAAACCCTTGCCGTACAATTCGCTTCTGACTGATGTGCCGTCGAAAACAAAGCCAGGGCATCGAGACTTTATCTCTTTTCCGTCTCCGTTGAGTGCAGATATCTGAAGATCATGGACTCGGCACAGAATATGTTGCATCAGTCAAATCTGCTCACCAAAGGCGCGTAAATATCATGTTCATGATACGCCGCATCTGGAATGCCCTTGAATGCGTTCTTTATGGAAGGCATGCTTTTCTCGCTACCTCTTGGGAGAAAGTCGTCCAGAAAGTCTTGCATCGGCATCGGTCCCAGGAAGAACTCCTGAGCGTTGGCAGCATACCGTCGGTTTTGGGCCGAAGCACGCTTCGGGTCAAATCCGAAATGTTGACTGGTATCCTCATTTTTTGCGATGGGAGTGTGAACTGGTCACCTTGGCTTCTTGTTGGAAGGCTTAACTGGAGGGGCAATCGGAGCAGCGGGCAGAGTAACGTGCGTCATCCTAGATGGGTCATTATCAAGGAGAAGCGCGCCGAAGTCTCGCAGTACCCAAGTCAAAGGTCGCCAACCAGACACGAATAACCAGCTTCAAAGCGACGCTAAGGACTTGAAAAGGCGAACAAGGCTCTCCATGTGTGAATACGGGGGAAGGAAAATATACAAAAGCCATTCCACGAAAGCCCAAAGTGTTTATGTCGTACCAGACGAGTCATTTGCATGCCATCCGAGGCTGAGAAACACCAACTGTAGAAATTCGCCTGTCGCATCCGGAATCCATGGCTCTTTACATCCAATAGTGAAAACACCCCCGAGGCGTGGTCATTAGGGAACCCACTCCAGCACCGTCTTAGTGCCAGGATATTGTTGGTTGGAAATCCTTTGAGCTACCCTCACATGCCTCAAATACATCGCCCACGCAAACCTCCAAAATATAGCATATTACAGCCTGGGCTTAGGTATCAAGGAAAGCTTCCCCTGCTTCGCCGCCTCCCTCGCGCGATCGCGCAGGACCCGACGCAAGAGCTTCCCGCTGGGGTTCTTCGGAATGACGTCAACCAGCTCGACACCCGCCGTCAGCTGCTTGTAGTGCGCTTTCCCCTCCGCGACATACTGGCAGCGTATATTCAGCAACACGATGTATGATAGAGGATGCAGCTGACTTTAATCAGTGTCATCTTGATCCGGCCCGCTTCCGCAGAATCTTTCTCGATTCGTGCTTGGGCACTTGCGCTGGGAACGACGTAGGCAAGCGGGAGGTCACCGTTGTACTCGTCTTGAATACTGACTACACAGGCGTCTGCCACGTCGGGGTGGTCAAGGAGGAAGCCCTCGAGCTCGGCGGGCGCCACTGACAGCGTATGTATGTGTTAGACTCTTGGCTAACACATTATACGACATCGCATCGCTTACCTTGGAATCCTTTGACTTTCAGTAGTTCCTGCGCGACCGAGCTCAATAATGTACGGATCCCATCAGGGTTACACTCACTTTGATCCGGTCAATGATAATTACCTCCGCTTTTTCGTTGATGATGACCTCGTCTCCTGTGTAGAGCCAACCATCCCTGAATGTCTCCTTCGTTTTAAGCGCGTAGCGTTAGGGGGAATTCCAGCCATCCCACTACGACGAGGGAAGGGTCACTCACGCTTGGGCGTTCCCGAGATACCCAAGCGCCAATGCGGGACTGGAGATGATCAGTTGCCCAGGCTCACCACGCTGCGCAAGGCTCCCGTCTTCCTTTAGCACGCGCGCGACGATGCCCGGAGCGAGCATCCCCGACGCGCCAGGGGTCTCGCTGTCGTCCGTCCTGGACATCGAGACAAGCACAAAGGCTTCTGTTATGCCTAACAGTCGGTCAATTGTCAGCACTTGGCTGCAACAAGACGAGAGCGCAGACCAACCGTAACCCTGGCCGACTAGCACGTGGGGCAGGCGTGCAGTCAATCGGTTCGTGAGTTCGGCGGTCAACGGTGCGGCACCAGAGGCCACTGTGTTCACAGAACTTAGGTCATACTTCTCAACGTCTGGGTGCTATGAAGTCCAGGCATCAATTGTGCGCTTGTGCTGGAAGACAAGTGCAGCGTGACACACCTTGCACAATAGGGCAACCATAGGAGGAACGGCACTACGGCACAACACAAAATCTATACAAAACTTCATGCAAGGATATTCGCACCTACCAGATATAATTAATTCGGTACTGCTCGATGCTCCTTAGCATGCCGGTAAAGTCGAATTTGGGAACCACCACCAGCGTGAGCTGTGATGCAGCTCAACACACACATACTGTTATGGGCGTACCCAACTGATACGCACCCCGTAGAAGATCAGAGAGTGCATGATATACACGAGCCCATACGCATCTGAGACGGAGGAGAGCACTAAGCACTGTACGCGCCTGATAGCACACAGCATGATCACATACGAAAGAAGGGCAGCACTGTCGGAAGCGCGGTTCACAAAAAGCCTCGCACAAACAGGTCAAGGCTTACCTGCTAACGTCACAAACCCAGGACGCACCGGCTGCTGAGTGAGCGGACGTGCATCGCTGGAAAAGAACGCCGCGGTTTGGATAACATTCGCGACAAGCGCGTAGTGAGTGGCCATGACAGCCTGTGCAGCACGGCAGCATTAGTTCGCGGGCCGCCTCAGAAACGGTCTCATTTGCCTTCGGTAGTCCAGTCGTTCCGCTGGACATGCTCAGGAACGCCAACTTGGTCTTCGCTTCCCCTGGCTTCAGCTTGCATTCGACGAAGCTCTTTGGCCGTCCCGCGCCCTCTTCAATGAGCTCTTGCACGTTCGGATGCTTCGCTTCCGCATCGTGAGTCCCACTCTCAATGAGGATGATGCGATCAAGAGTAATGCCGACGTCGAGAGCGGCAGCACGGGCGATGGGATAGACCCATGGGTGGACGATGAGAAGCGTCGCACGCGTGATTTTCAGCTGGTATACGAGTTCGTCGACGGTATAGGACGGGTTGGCGGTGCTAACCACGACTTGTCGAAACATTCTTCGCTAGATTAAAGTTGACTTGTGGACTTACGTGACAATGGCTCCAAGGCGGTGGATTGCCCTGCATACATCCCCGTCAGCTGTATACTAGTTTTCTTCGTCGAGACGTACCATATAGCGGAAGGATAGTCTATACAGGGTTAGGTACGGTGTCAATTCACAAGTGACACGAGGACATACCAACGTGATTCGGACTGAAGATACAGACTGCAGTGAGTCATTCAATACCGAGGCCCGGTGATGAAAGTAGTGAGAAAGGGCGCACCGACATCATCGTCTCCTATTTTGAATATCAGTATGCACGTCGGGCAAGAGTAGACACAGCGTACTGATTTGCCAGCGGGCACTCAGTGAATTCGCCAGCGCATCAGTACGCGCACGAATCTAAGCCCGTCAGCGACCATTCACCAGCCATTTGAACAATACACACCTCTTCCCTGACCAATTCGCGCCCAGTCGCGTCCTCTATCAACCACGCTCCCGGCTTATCAAGTTCTTGCCTCAGCGGATGGTGGCAATCGAACATAAATTGTGCGACCGTCACATCGTCTGGAATAGCGGGAAGGGAGCCACCGAATTCATGAATCTGGGACATGTCGTAGATAACCTCAAGACTGGCGGCAAGAGTGAGGGGAAAAGCGGGGGAACATATACGCACACGCTGTCAAGAGAGACGCCGCAGAATTGGCCATGGTTGATCCATGATAGTCGAGACAAGGCTAGCGAGTTGCCGGTAGTTTGCAAAGAAGTGAGGGAGAAAACCCGCGGGAATGAACTCGGCGCCAACACAACACAGTGCAACCTCAAGCCAACCTATCGAATTGTGCATCAAACCCGGCGCACTACTACGGCTCGAATGCGACTGATACGATGAGCGAGCTATGCTTGACAACAGTCGTGACGATGCTGACTGGCAGATTGCCTGGGCTCCGGGCAGCGGGGAATGTTGAGCGAGGAGTCGAAAGTCAAGCGGCTCGCGACATGCATCCCCGGGTCTCGTCCGATCATAAGTTTGAAACGCAAAAGCGTACCAGCTACCAAATATGGAGAACGGGAGTATACTCTCGACAAAAATAATTGTCGTCGTAAAATCCGTTAACGCGACTGGATCGAGCCCAAGAGCACACCATCAGATATGCGACAAAGTGGCTGATTACAAAACTGGGTACAGTGTATGCGGGATTCAAGTGCAGCACGCCTTGACGGGTTGCACGACAACAAATGAGTACCGCTAATAACATATCACCGACTCCACCGTTGAGCAGTCTGACTCGTCGCTCCTTGCCTTTACGGTATACCTCCTTCTACACCTTCTTTTGGCTCAAAATCTCCAGTCGCCGTATTTCGGACGCCTAGCGTTCACCCTATGGCTTTATATCGGGGTCCTCAGCATGAGTATCTGGATTGGGCCCCAACAGTTCCATCTCGTCGATATTTATTCCAGTTCTCGTGCATTCTAAGGTGCTCATTTGTTTTGGGCGGCACCGCGAAGCCACAAGACTTGCCAAGGGCTGCAAGATCCAACGCATTCCTGTCGAAAGTCTTCATGAGCGAATACGACGCATACGAGCTTGAAGGCAAGCCCGATTTCATTCCTTCGCTGACCGAAGAAGGAAATAGTCTTGCTGCAGCAATTTTTCTAGCTGAGGGCTTGTTAATTGGTCTGCGTGCGTAGCATATGTAGACTTACCTGGTTATGAATGTTGCAGACCATGTGAGCAAGGAACGTAAAAGGCATTTTGGCGTCCTCAAGTACCCGAGCGCGCTCGAGAGGAGAAACAGATTCTGACCACCCTTCCCACCTCGCACTGCGCGACCAACGCGATGGATGTAGTCGCGTGGATCGTCTGGGGGATCATACTGTACAATTCCATCCACCTGAGGGATGTCCAGACCCCGGGCAGCAACATTTGTGCACAGCAAGAACTCTGATTCGGTGTTGATGAACTCAGGACCAGCTCCCATCTCAGACCTCAGAGCTGAGGCCCGACGACCGCACTTACACTCGATGAAACCAGCTCATGCTTGAATGTTCCAAAACTTTGGTTATATGATGCTATTCTGTCATTGTTTAATTATGTGTCCTCAGAATGCATTGCCTCCAGAGCACTATTCGTGCTGTTTACTCATGACATTCTCTCAGTCTGGGTTCGTACATGACAACATGGCTTGGCCAACATACATATTGTGTCGACTTGTGCCGCTCTTGCTTCTCCGTTTCTCCTGTATCAATCGAAACAATAATCACCAGCTGAAGCACTCCAGGGGTCAGGTCGTCTCGTCAACACGTCTCTGCCTAGCCTGCCTATCCCTCTAACGCGCGGAATGCCTCATTGAGGCGATCGACTTCTTCTGGTGTATATTTCCGCACACCAAAGCCCGTTGTACGCTTGAGATGTCGAGATTCAGACAAAATGATAACCTCGTCTACTCCCAGCTGTCGGCCCTCCTCGAGGGTGAGCGGCTGCGGCCTTTCGCAGATCGAGCGGCGCGCCTCGCGGAGAAGCTCTGGCAGGTCGTATCGGCGCGCCATGACGATCTGCTCCGCCAGGGTTCCTACAGCGGTCGCGCGCGTGATGGCCAGGCCGCGGATATCTGTAAATAGCCACTTCGAAGCGAACTCGACCACCGATACCCATTCGTCGAATGTGCTCAAGTCGTGATATCGAACATCCCTGGTAGCTCGTGATGAGCTGGTCATTCTCGAATATCTAGCATCTGGCCAATCATACCTAGGGTAGAATACCGTGAGGAATCTCTCAAAGTCGATGGCCCTCGTATCCTCGAGAATAATAGGGTGACCCGCAGATTCTCCCTCCACTTCCTGGCCCTCCGGAGGACGCAGCATGAACATCGTTTGGAATACTTCCGACTTGTGCTCCAAGAAGTAACGATGCACCTTGAACAGCACGTTGTCCACCTGGTCGCCGTTCGCGAGCGATAACATCATATTCTATCTACCGTTGAACAGTTATAAGAGGACCCACCAAAAACACAACAGTACCATCGTCGAAATAGAACCGATCGTGCCTCCGCTGGTACAGCTTAGACAACGATTTACCAAACTTGGCAGAAAATGCAGCTTTGATACCAGTAGACCACGGCCTGCCAGAACACAAACGAGGCAGAAGCAATACATACGGCCGTATCGCAACGAGCAACCCAGCCATCGTCGCAGTGAAGGCGAGTGAAGGGTACGTTGGGAGCACTGCCGCCGTCGTGTTGCAAACAGGCTGTGCGTCTTTCGAGCCGAGAAGTAACGGCACGTTTGATAGAGTTCATCCGTCGAATGCTCGATTTGGATATACACGGACTACATAAATTAGTAACAAGCAAACACAGCGTTTCCAAATATCACGGGAGCATCTCGACGATGAGGCATGTAATGGTGTGCGTTTTTGGTGCCCTAACGCTTTGAATATCTGTTAACAATTCCTACATAGTCCACTGCACTCTGAAAGCGGCAATTTGTTAGGTAAAGCTAGTCCAGCCATCAAGAATGATAGTACCCATATGCGATACAAGAGGCACTCAGCTACACACAAGGAACATCATCCTCCAGGTATATACCCACAGTCGTCCAAGCGTATCTCAACGATACTCAAACGGACGTCAGAGATAACAAAGCCTATAACCAGTCGATTATCAGTATCGACCTAAGCTGGACTGAAGAGCAAGCATAACAGACGTTATCGAGAGGGGATGGCAGGTCAATTTTACAGCGCCAGACCTCGGTGCTGTTGTTCCTGGGGATCTGCAACCAGGATGGCCATGTCGATGTCTGCCCAGTCAGCGTCCCTGTCGCGCGCAATTGCGGATGCAGCGTGTTGAGAAACTGGGCAAAGTCACTAACTCGGGTAACCATGCCACGAATTTCCACGGACAGATGTCGTAGGCCATTAGACGGTAGATGGTGCAGATGGTGCAGATCTATGGTAGCAGGTATCCTGGTGATATCTAGGTGGGATAGCGCAAGCGTTTGTAGACCCGGCAAGTACTGTGCGAGATCCAATAGCGTAGCAGGGGTTGGAGGCGAGAACTGGCTTTGGGGCAGATAGCGCAGTGCTAAACCCCTCAACATCGGCCAAGCCGCCGCCATACTCTTCATCACTGCGGTCGACAGCCTCAAGGGCAGGTGGTAGGCGTCAATGCAAACCTCTTCCAACTGATGCATTGGGAAGAGAGCTCGGATGTAATCCTCTAAATGATGTATAGCCTGAGAGTTGTCCCATTCGGCAAGGTCATACCTGGTTCGGAGAGTGAGCCGAATGCCTACGAGGAGAGGAAGGTCCAATTTGAGTAGTAAATCCAAGACTTGGCTACATTCCACAGGAGATGTTGTCACCGGAAGGGTGAGACGAAGAGCGCGCAGGTACGCAAGGTTCATACCAGACATGCACGCCTTTATACAAGATGCTGTTCCCTGTAAACTAAGAGAATGGATAGATGGTAGATGGTACACCTCGCCCTCTGCGAGATCCACGCTGCGAATTACGATCTTGACGTCCTTCACAGTCGCTAACGGAGCGAGTGCGTGGAAGAGCAATGAGTCGACGACACAGTTGTTGAGCTCAATAGCACGCAATTGAGCAAGATTAGCAATAGGCTCCAAGTAGAGAAGACTATTGAGCCCTCCTACTTGCAGCTCCTCCAGGTGAGGCGCACGGCGAGCAATGGTCTGAAACACAGGTTGATCTCCGTAAAGAGCCACATTCTGTGAGAACTCGTCGAGGGAGTGTATAGAGATTCGCAACGAGCAGAGCGATGGCGACAAGAGGAGGAATTGGCATGTAGCAAAGGGCGTAAACGGACCCACGGCCCAGCGCAGGTGCCGTAAGGAGTAAAACAGAGCTTTGCCATGCCCGAATTGCCGTGCATACCGACACAAGGCCGTCATGCCTTCCGGGTCATTGTGGGTAACAGTCAAATGTACCACGAATGATGCATAGTACTGAAGTCGCTGCCATGTCTTAAACGGGTCTCCATATTCAAACTGGCAGTGACTGTGAGAAAGACATCATTGATGCGTCTCGAGATAATCCGCTCACATAGATCCCGCTGGGTTTCTTATGGCTTGCAGGTAACAAACCAGTCGTGGCACCCACCTTGGTCGTCAGCATGAGGGCGTACAGAGGACGCAGATTGCGCAATGTCTTCCAAAGAATCGCCAGAGCGCAATCTGATATTGCACGGGACACGAGGGTGCAGCTACGCAGTGTCTCCCGGTCCTCTCTGAAGGGGTTATCGTTCCAGTCGAAATAGCTGAGTATATGCTGTAAGATATCCGGAATATGGAGCGCGCGGTGCATCGTGTGTACGGTGGGGGAATCTTGAACGGAACGGCCAATGCTGCCGGGCATTGCGTTCGCGAGGATGGGGCGAAAACGAAAGTGAAAAGTGAGAGGAAAGGAAAGCTGTGAGAAAGCGGTCAAACTGCCAGCGATGACCGGTGATGATGACTGGGTGAAATATGAAAGAAATCCCTGACGACCTCAGTCCAGATCTGTCGAACGACTCGGACTGCGCACGCGCCTCGAGATCCCTGCACAGACATTTTGATGGCGCGATGAAACAGATTCCAAATGCGTGAGCCGTACATCCGAGTCCGAATCGGGTTCGTCAACTTCAAGTTGAAGTGACAGAGGCTCGACCTCGTCAAAAGAGGACTTTGAAGAAAAATTGAGCTCTGCACTGAGTCCATCACGACAACTCAGCCCCTCATTGCACTGTGGATCTTCAGGAGTTCAACCTGATTAATGCAACATTTGTCCTGATAAGCGTAAATGCTACCAGGCAAATCGATCTCATAGTGCAAGTAGTAACTGTCAGTAAGTACCAACTTGTTGCAGGTAACTAGTCAACGCAATGTCACAATGCTGGTGGCGCGGCTTAAAAACATATCAGGATTCGGTGCCCAATCTCGACGGTCTGAGCGATGTTCGACGCCTTGAATGTCAAAAACACTCATACCATGAGCACCCAAAGGAACTGTAACTCATCCACCATCCGAAGTCACGTATCCACATGTAGCGAGAAGCAAACGGCATAGACAAAATTCCATCAAATCTTCTGCCCTGAGCACTCCAATTAACTTCCGCACAGATGGCGGGATAAAAAACCATACCGGGCATAAAGATTCCGCCCATTCATATTCTGACATTAAAACGTTGCCATATCTTATCCGCGGACATAGAGCCTCACAAGAGCCTGCTCAATCCTGCAATCACAAATCTCATCAGCAGGCAGCCCAGCTATCAGAGCAAATCATCACCGCACCTCTGTTTTACCATCATCGTTACACCCTGGTTCACGAACCCTTTTACGATCTGCGCGCCAAGCCCATCATACAGCCCTGCGCACCCCCTCTGAGTGAGCGCAGTGCGCCATACGTCCATCATCGTTGTCGCGCCTCGCGACGCGCCTTCCTGCAGGGTCGGCCGCCACGCTTGTACGCGCACCTTGGCTAGGACGACAGGGTATAACAAAGCGAGTGCGAGTGCGTTTGAGCATGCGCCGTCGAGGAACGCCCGGAGCGCCGCCCGCGCAGGGGTAGCAGTGGTCGTTGGGAGGAGCGGGAAGTGCATCCGGTTTAGAATCTTGAAGAAGAGGAGGCTGAGCGCAGGCGTGAGTGCAAGCGGGAGGGCGGGTATGAAGCCTGAGAGGCAAGCATGTGTCAGTACAACATGGGCAGGGGTGATATCGCCGCGCAACTCACCTGCCCAGAATCCTCCAAGGCCTTGTTCCTGATAGACATCTCGAATCACATCAGTTGCAGACCACGTCCGTTTCTGTTGCTTTACTTTTGAGTCTGCCAATATAGCATCATCGTCATCGCCGCTGCTCTGCAATCGCACAGTGACGACACTGAGCGGGGTTGATATGGCACGACTTGCTACACCCGCAATGAAGCCGATAGCGAGTTCGGTAGGGCCCCCCAGCAGGGAGGGTGCAGTGGGGGAGATTAGGGCCTTTCGTAGGGTGGCTAAAAGAGAAATTTGAGACGATGCCAGAGGCGCCGCGCGACAAGGGCATGCAGGAGGGCGTAGAAATAGAAGTACAAGAAGCTGGTGAGATGCGCAATGGGAACAAAAACTTTGATATGAGCGACCGGGAACGCTCACTTGGACAGAAGCGTGGATGCCGTGTCTGTTTCGAGTCCGCCATACAAACCGGGAACACCACGAGTGTGGAAGATGTGTCGTAGGATGTGTAGGGTACCGCACAGATCTGTGGTTTGCGAGTCAATCAGCTGAATGTCTGGAAGTAAACTCTCGTACCACGACGATGCAGATTTCTGCTCGTTTGCACCTTCGTCGCGACAAGGTCCAGCGGGTATGAGATGGCGTTCGCTGACGCGCTTGCGAGCGCACCGGAGCATGCTTGAACGAGAGGGGGGAGGGAGGAGGTCATCTGACGGAGTACTCGAGTTAGGCTTCGGGAAGCGGGCGGATGTATGCATCGCGAGCGAAGTGCAGGACAGTTATATGCGCGCGACGACCATGATTCGGCGGGAGCTGGATGACGTCATGTGGTCCTGGAGAATTGATTCCAAAGTGGTTGGGTGCTTCAAAGGTCGCCAGCTGAACTCATAGAACAGCCAACCAGATACTTTCAATGGTAGCGAGCCACTTCTTTCGCTGCGCATATCTATGTCTGCGGTCGCAAGATCCAAAGGGCGTGCAGGTGCAGACAAGTCGCAGCTGAGATACTTGGTGCTGGCGCGGGGAGGGGGCCGGGAAATCCCAGGGCATCGGCTGAGTCAAGTTCCCAGTTGGTCGTAACCTGACTAGCTGTGCTCCTCCTCCACCCTTGTAAATCTTCCTCTCGCCCACCTGGCAAAGACAGGGCTAGTGTCTCAAATGCGTCAGGTTCATTCTTAACGGCTTCATGTGTCAACATGTCAGGACACTCAATGAAATTATTCTGAAGGTGTGACCGTCGAGCCTCTACAACTTATTGGCACCAGGCCCTAGATATCGGACTTACCTCTCTCTCCAGGCTATTCAATGAGGCCTGATCTGGCGCATCAAGATCAAAGCTCGAACTGTAGATATCTGGAAGTAGTAACACAATGACTCCGTTGAAGAAAAACAGTTAGGTTGGGCCCATTTAGCTAGTGCCCTATGCCACACTCTGATCGACGAGCCTGTCGATGTCAGGAGCCTGAGTCCATGTACTTCCCTCTCTCAGAGCGCGGCGTTCACGGTACAGACGAAGAATGAATGATCACGAGCAATCGGTCGCCTCGGCTCCGCTCAAGCAGCTGCAATCTACTTAAGGAGCCTTGTTATGCGTCTAAATGTCCGTGTCTCCGTACTACTCCTTCGCTATTCACCAGCGTAACCACCTTTGTGATGCATTGTGCCCTACAGACGCCAGATATTCTGCGGTACATCTTCAGCTATGACAACACTACATACATGGGACGAAAGCGCTGGTCTCCTGTGCCTTTGTCTGCAGCATCTTTTCAGCGTACGCGCTTCCTGTCATCTGGCGGCACCTAATGGATGCGCGCCCGCTCTATAATCTTCTTTTGAAGACAACCCGACCATCTCCGCCGGAGGTCACTGACGAAAGCGGCATCAAAGACTATGGATCTTCTGTGAGTAACTCCCTATACTCACTCATAGGCTTCCTATGTCGACTCTTGTAGTCTGAACCCCAGAGAAGATGGGGGCGATTCCAGCACTACGCAGCGTTTGCAACTCATCTGGACATCGTTCGTGACAACTTCGAGGGCATGTCTGCTATGTGTCACTATGCACGTCGGTTCGCAGACGGCACAATTGTCTTTCCTTCCCTGCGCCACCTTCGCTGTGCAGTTGTACGCCATTCCCCTCTCGTTACGCTGCATTCATTCCTACTGTCCTCTTCTCTACAGTTGGTCCATGTTCGCGTCGATACCGTGGATGAATATTCATCCCACTGTGTATCATTGTACTAACCCATGCTCCAAACCACCGCCTCTCTAGTTCCCCAGCTCGAAGAACTGCAAGTGAGGGAGGTGAACAGCGCGCTTTGCAAGGAACATATCTCACGCTTGACGCATTTGCGAGCGCTGCAGCTCATCGATTGCCTAGTCGACGGGGCCCTCCTGTGGACGCTTGGTACCCTTTGCAGCCTCACCGATCTGCAGTGCATGGTTCAAGCCATGGAATTCGATGCAGACATCCAGTGTAGCCTGCCGCTCTTACGCTCTCTCACACTGCAGAGAACGCCAATGGATCTCCAGGCATGTTCAAGCGCCATCAGTTTCCCGCGTCTGAGCTCAGCCCACCTCATCCTCCCCATCAACACGCGTCCGTGCGAGTCAAGATCGTGCGCTGAACGTGTTCGTCGCGGGCGGCACGCTGCTGCTTGGCAGCATTAGCCTGAGCTTCCGGCTGCGGAAGGGGCGCGAGATCAGCGCGCCTTGGCGCCTGTATACTGTCGATGACCTCGTGCGCATCCTGTTCGGACTGCACGGCATCAGCGAGTTCACTTTCGATGCACCGTACCTGCAGCTAGTGCTGACTGACCAGCTGGCTTTCGACATTGCCGCAGCGTGGCCTGAGCTACGCTTGCTAGTGCTGCTGCGTGCGTCGCACGATCTTGGTTCGACCATGATGCCTACTCCACATGTGCTCGCAGAGCTCGCGCGGCGCCTTCCGGACCTCGAGGAATTGGAACTGTGGCCCATGGGCATCTGGATGGCTTTGTTCAACCCGTCGGCGTCGTACGTGGTCATACACCAGCTGTGCACGTATCGTACTTTTTTGTTTGCCTACGCCGCGCATATATTTTGATTTCTTGCCGATGAGATACCCATTCTGCACAGGTTGGATGCCGCTTGAAACTTCTTTACTTGTGTGTGCTGTTGATCCTCCACTGGACGCTCGATGGCCTGGGGTATGCATCCGACCTAGCATCTTAATAATCATATATGTGCTTGTTCTCATTGAATCCGCCTAGATCACCGGTAGAAGACATGGAGTAATTGTGGCGTGTCGTGCGGGTTGTATGCGACCGATATGCACCGGCAGAGCGCACGCGAATGCAAGTTGCCAATCAGACTAGGGGGGAGATAAATGGCCCAGTCCTTAGGCCTTAGGAACGGCACGGTGAAGTCTGCAAGGATCAATAAGGCTGAGACGGATACAGTAATGTGAGATCCCCGCTGTGGACGCACGCTTGTAAATTGTTCAATCCTAAGACTGTATATAGACCGCGCAGAGACCGGTAGATGCCGGCCGTCAACCAACTGTACTCGCATCCCTGTGCATCCTGGCTTCTCCGGTCACCGGCTCAAAAACCATGCGCGGCAGAAAGAGTTCGACAAATTCTCTCAACCTTGCTCCTGAGGGTTCACCTGTTTATACCTCGCTTAGAAACACGGCTTCCCCCCCAAACCATCCTGCTCCCACTGAGCCTCCCCTCAGCGATGCTTCGCCGCTCCTTCCTGGACCCCGTCAGTCGAGTCGAGTTATCCAGGGAAAATCCTTCGGAATTTTGACTCTATATAAAACGTTAAGAGTTTTGGCAGGATTTCTCGTGGGGTTATTTGTGGGTTTAGTGATATCCTATATCATCGTTAGGCCGATCTTTGACGTACGTCAAAACGGCCTAATGATGAGGGAGGAGGCTATCGTCGCCAGGGAACACGCGATTTCATACAGAGAGAATGTCACTTTCGAGAGGGAGGATAGTCTTGATAGTCGGGAGACACAGCTCCACATGGACGAGGATGCTGTCTCCGAGAGGGAAAAAGCTGTGCGTGATAGGGAGAACGCAGTCCACACGAAGGAAGACGCGATGCGAGCAGACCAAGAGCGCAGGGAGCGCGCGCGCCTTTACTGGAGCGACCCGGTCGCGGAGCAGCGGTGCCTAGGCTACGAGATGAGAAAGTATCACGCAGAGTTGTTCAACATCCCAGAAGGAGAGGATACACAGAGGTGGTGCATGGAGACGAGCATCAATATTCACGGCAAGACGTATGACCATCCGGATATTTGCACTGAGGAATATGTAGTAAGTATTCCCTAGTGCCTATATGAGTGTATCGCGCTCACAGTCAATAGGACGGGATTGTCAAGATCGTTGCACATTGGACTGTGAAGGGGAATGAGCCGACATGTCGGACGTGGTGGGGTAACCACGAGAAGAAGGTACGTCTTGCACTCGTCTCGACTCATTGTATATCTGAACTCAACACATTCTAGGAGTGCTTCGGTTCACACCAGCAGGTATGACCAAATACCTCCAAGGTTCCATGACATGCAGCTAAAACCTGGCTTTATTCAGCGTGTCGAGGCTCACCTGTTTAACCACCAAGAGCCCTGGGACAATTGGGCAGAGATGTGCTTTTCTACTCCGTCGGACTTCGCAGATCAGTCTTTCGCCCACCCTGACACCTGTGAGAGTAGGGTTAGTAGTATCATGCTTTAATCATGTAGGCATCTTTACTGACATAGGTACTTGTAGGATGGAATCGTTGGGACATGGTTCATCAACGTCGACTCCCACGAATGCCCGTAACTTGGAGGGTTCGTGTTGTTTTGAAAGCACGTCACGGTTGTCTTGGTCATTGTCGCGCACTTGTGTCCTTACCCAGCTCTTGTTCTCGCGTCTCGTCTTGTATTGTTGAACTTGTGACTTGCCATCGTCGATGGCGTGTATTCGTGTCAATCTATTTGTAGCATCCGAGACGCTTGTAAGTGGGTTAGGCCTTCAGCGAAAATGGTCCACGAAAACCCGTATTTTCCAAAGGTTCCGAATTTCCAATAAGCGGTGGCGCAACCACACGGACACCCATCGGCAGGTACCAAATCTGCCCTTTGTTTCTGTGGGCTGCGCCGCGGCGCATGCCGACGATAGTCCATACCAGTGGTGCATCCCAGTGCGCCCCATGGTGGCAACTCATGCCAAAAGTACCTGTTTTTGCATCTTGAGATCAGACCTGTTTCTAGCAAATATGAGTTTCATTAAGCTTCCTTATGTTTGCCGTCGTGCGAACCAAGTTCAACCATGATAGGGACGATTTCACCCTGACAAAGAACAGTTGGGAAGTCCTTCACATGCAATGATGTTCGGGGTATGTGCCACTAACCCAGTCATTCAAGATGCGCCGTGTACGGTAACCCTCAGATGAACAGCGAGCGTACGCACGCACGCATTGATATTGCAGCGGCCTGAGTACAGCCATACCTTCAGTGCATCTCAACGCGCAAGCCAGCCAATAATACCATGATGAGCCCTCAGAAAAGTGCTTATTCGTCGTTCAGAAGTGGCTACATACGTCATGTCATCGTGAACTGCATAATTCACTGAAGGACTACCGCAGTTCATCAAGAAAGGCACGAACCACAGCACGGGCATAGTGGTACTGCGAGTCCTCGTGACGGTAGGACCGTCTCCCCTCGCGCTGAGGGTAGTACTGCTCATAGCGTTCATGTCCATGGAAGCGATCTTCGTGTGCATGCCAGTTAGATCTAAAGTCGCGCTTTCCGTTCTCCCCGGAGCCCTTTGCGCTACAACGATGAATAAGAAGGGATAATCAATGAAGGCGTCAAAAAATACGCACGCCTTATCGGCCTTGTCTAATTCAGCCATCTCCAGCGCATTTTGTGTCGTGAGCGGTTTCGACTTGTGGCTACGACAATGGATGAGACACATCGGAACAGACCTGCCAAATAGACTCACAGATGCGTCTTAAGGTCGTGTGCGGTCTGCCTAAAAGAAAAAGGGGTCGTAGGCAAACAGGTTTTACTTCAAGCGCAGCAACATAACTTACTCCGAGTCTGCCGCTATTACAGGAACAATCGCAAGCACCCCGACAACGAACATTGTTGTCAAACGCATTATGACAGTTGATAACTTCTGCAGAGGATTGGTCAAGGATGGTCGTCGCGCACAGGCAGAGGGCGAACGAAACGAGTCAGGCTACGAGAAGCGTTCAACGATGCATAACCTGCAGATAATCGTCCCAAAATACTCACTATCCAGTACCTGACCTTGAAGAACTTCGCTCACAGATCAACTGAGGGCTGGGGAAATAACCGGTGAATCAGCTGCCCTTTTATAGAGCTCACTCAGATTCATCTAATCTTACATTTGAAACTAAGTATTCTATTGGTGGATGATTTGGCCGGAATGTCTTCGTGATGATTGATGCCGCCTATGGTAATCCCGCCAGTAGGAGCGACAAATTCAATTATTCGGCCGGCACATTGTCCGATTTAGACACCAAAGTGTGACAATGACTGAATGTCTTCAGTACTAAGTACTGAACAAGAAGGCACGCAAAAGTGGACATCCATTCGCTTTCGTTCAACCTCGAAAAAATAGCAGAAATGTTAAAATGGAGGTGAGTGTGGAGTAAAACTGAGTTAACCGACCCGGCAACAGTAATGGCCCATCACGAGCCTGCCGGCTGATTACTGTACCCAGTGTAAGGTCTAGCGTAGTGTTTGACACGCAGCCGCATGAGCCCTGCTTCGCCCGCATTTGCTTTCCCCTTAGGGATTTTCTCCTTATGGCAATGTCGTACACGCAATAGGAGCGACGGATCCATTCGCACCGCACTCGGCATACTGAAGACCTTTAGTAAAAGGATTCTAGATACAACACTTACGGCCCGTTTACTTTCACTTCAAATCTGAAGTGCTGCAGTTCATGGAGGAGAGCGCAAAACCTATGTGTGGGCATAGTGCGCCGTCGGCTGCTCGTGACAAAAGAAACTGCCCGTGACTTCGTGTCTATCGTTATGGAGGCGGTCCGCATCTTCACCATCATACGCGTGCCGGGACGCTTGATAATCGCACAAACCAAAATTTCACGAGCTCCTTGGGGCTGCAGAAGTGAATGAGCATGGCAAAATAACACCCACATCGAAACAACTATGCCTAATCTTTTGCATCTTCTAGACTTAAAGTTGCAAGAATTTGTGAGAATGACGCCGAAATCATGTCCAGTATTTAGCGTATAAATAGGACAGCTTCGCAAGCTCAGCCTGGAGAACGTCAGACGATGTAGGAAACTATCTTGACTTGGTTCTATAATGATGACAACAAAGGTCCCCATTAGATGCATAAGTCATGATCAACTCATAACACTGCTCCTTGGGTAGCCTAGAGGGGTGCATCATCGTAAGCCTCGTCTTGAGATTATAATAAGCATGGAAACATCCTACTTTAGCGCCAGTATGACAGGGATGACCGCACTCAGAGTATCGCCGTTGGACGTTAGATGTAGCATTTGGACATAATGAGCAGGAAATTAGTTGGGTGGTCACCATTTAATGAAGTAAAACGAGAACGAAACAGGTCAAGTTACAAGAGGCAGGAGTCGACAGGGCGATAGTATCGCGAAGGCTCGCTATTGTACCTGATGTCGCAGTCGCCTGAGGGCTGGGTTTCAAAGAGCGGAGAGGCTGACTCTGAGGATGCTTGGGAATGATTGAATGGGCTATACAGTCGTACTGCGAGCATAACCTCGCCATATACTTCGACGGATTTACTCTCGCGTATTCCAGCATGACCATTAGTGCTTGAGACTGACCGAGTATGAGGGATAGAACACACGCAGATCTGTTTTTTTTATCGTTCAAGATAAACATAGGAGTAAGCGCAAGTCGAAGACACGAGAGCGCGAGACACAAGCGAGGTAAACGAGCCTCGAAAGCGTCATGATCAGGACATGTCGACTATCACCATTGACATATTCCGACGCAAAATAATATAGTCCTGGATTCTTTGCGGTCTCAAATTAGAACGACATGTCTCACTGTTCCAAAGTGGAGCTTTGAGCACCGCTCAGCGCAAGCGTACAAGCACATGGTATAATATCTCGGGACTCACCTCATTTTGACCTATCAAATGCCAGTGTGTCGAATATAACCCCAGATTCAATGACCTGTGAATTGCTGATACTAATGTAGTGGTTGAGTCGGGACGAGAAGTAAAATTTATGTAGACCCCGCCTTATCTAAAACAGCGGGGTATTGCTATATTTGGATATGATCGGAATGTGTTCGGGATCCTTATTGACAGTTGTTGCCCGCCGCGCAATTGATCAAGGTACGACACATATGGGGCGGCCAAGCTCTGCACAAGCAGGCGCACAGCATATAGATAGACCTTTACACTTACACTTACGATGAGGACAATTTTCGAGCTGTGACGTCTCCACAATCCTCGAGTTCAGTACTTGGTTCTACTAAATTCGATTGTAATATCAATAGTCGTTAGGTCTACTAAACAATAAGTTTAAAGTTGTATCGTATCAAGCGGCGCGCATGGCGGGTCGTGGCATGCATCTACGCACGGGGTATCAAGCTGGGCATAGCATATCAGGGAATATTTTCTCTCCGTCAATCCACACGAGTCGTGAGAGGGCGTTCATGAAATGAAGGCGAGCTCGCGGGTCTCGGCTGGGAGCTCGCGGCGTGGAGGTACGAGCCCAGGGACGAGGAAGAGCATCGCCGCGATCAGCTCTGTGACAGCAGAGAAGGGATACCACCAGTGCTCGTTGTTTTGCTATTAATAGAAAGAAATGAGAAATGGGTCGGAGAATGTGAGGGCCAAACGTACCCTGGAAAGGTTGTGCTCTGTACCCGCGTAGAATGCCTCCCGTGCAAGGATGAGGGCTGCGATCGCCAACAGAACGAAGGCCCCGCTCGTAGAGTAATGTGTTTCCTGGTCCGCCTCCGCTTGCGCTGGCTTTTTCTCTGCGGGTGACATGCGATTTTAGTCCAACGTGCGGTAGGTGAGAGCAGAGATGTACGCACGGACACCGCCGAGCGTCGCCGCACTCAGGACGATTGTGTTAACGGTAAGGAGACAGGCAACGGCGAGGAAAATGTACACGCTCGCGCTGCGCAGGTTCACCGCTGAGTTGATCGATGACAGCGTCGAGGCAGTCTCGTAGTCGACCTGGGAACGGATGCAAGCGGTCAGCCCTTTGGACGGTGCAAATGAGCTCGTGATGTACTCACGGATCCGATGATGCCAATGACGACGGCTGCCATGAGGGCCGCTCGGATGACCATGCGGGCACGCATTATGCGGAATAGCAGCTTGGCGGGTCCGGGCGAATAGCTCATGATGACGTCCATGTCGATGAGCGATTCTCTGTGAGCGGCCGATATTAGCGGGTGCATGGAAAGAGTGCATGGACGAGATCGTACCGGTCAAGGACAAGGGTATACGCAGAGTAGAGCATACCGAAGAAAGATACGCTGTAGATGACTTCCTCTGCGATTAGGACGTGCTCATTGTGAGCGGCCGACGATGACCCTGCAAGGACGGCGCGGAGGATGAAGGCTATGATACGAACTGCATTTGCTAGATTAGAGATGCAAAAATTCGGTATGAAAGCCCAAAGGACTGACCGAAGCAGAAGAAGGTGAGAACGATAAAGACATAAGTCGGCTGGCGAATGCTTTTGAAGAAGAAAAGGCCAAGAAGGGGGGCGTAGACAATGGCAAAAATAACGGCGCCGGCAATGGAGTAGATGCCTGCTGCGTGTGCGTAATTGATGCTGGTGCCTGCCATTGGGAATGAATGAAGAAGGTAAATAAAAGTGAAAAGAATGAGGAGCGGAAGGTGCGCGCACCTAAATACTTTTATAGAGGCCCCGCGTGTGTGCGCGGGCTGTGCATGCGATTTGAAGGGACGCCGGGAGAAATCATGGGACAGCCTCGCCTGGGTTTGAGATGCGAGGGCCA